CAAGCTTAAAAAAAAAAAAAGCCAAGGCGTATGAGTGAATCTTCTTAATTTTTAAACCAACTACAATTACAAAAAAAAAATGCCTTCAGGCCAAATTTAATTTTGTTTCTGTTTCCTGTAATTAGAGAAACTCTCTACTCTTTGGCTCATTAACAATTCATTTCTATCAAAATTAGAATTTTGACGCCCAAGGTAAGAATGCAGTTTCCTGGCACTGGAGTCTAAGTACTAGCTTATTTTTCACCAAGTGAGTGGAAGGTGAGAGAGAAGTAGGGGGAGACTGAGGGATGGTGTGGGGAGGAGAGAGTAGAGTGAATGAGAATATTGGTTTTAATACTGAAATTACTTTTTAAGCCTTAAAAAAGTCCTGGAGATCTGTTATGGAGATGTAATTTGTTTTCTAGAGTCTTTCTTTTGCAGGCCAAGGCCAAAGAGTAAAAAGCTCCATCACTCCACAAAATTGAGAAACTGGAGTCTGGGAACAGATATGATAAAAAACAAGTCCTTAAGGTGGCAACACAGTTACAAAACAGTATGTGAAACTGTCCCAATTCATTCACAAAACATGAGATTAATAGAATAACTGGGTTATTCTGCAAGGTTTCAGAAAGTCAATCCTGATCCAATGGTGAGAACTTTTCCATTCGATATTTCATGGGACACAGCCAAAAAAAGTCAATTTTATTTACATCATTTTTAAAGACATCTATTTATTTGAGAGACAGACTGAGAGAGAGAGCTTGGGGGGGGGGCAGAGAGAGGAGGAGAGAATCTCAAGCAGACTCCCTGCTGACCACAGAGCCTGATGCAGGGCTCAATCTCAGGACCCTGAGATCATGTCCCGAGATAAAACCATGAGTCAGATGCTCAACAGACTGAGCCACCCAGGTGCCTCTTAAATCATTTATTTTTTAATGGTAGAAAACTAAGAAGAGCTTGGGAAAAATATATTTTAAATATCAAAATATATAACATTTAGGAAGGAGTGATTTAAATGGTATAAAACAGCTATTTAATGAGTGAATTCAGTCATTTGTGTATATGATGGGGCTATAAAATGTCTACTATGTATTTCTTAATGGTTTGACTTTCAGCATCAAGTAACATCAACAGAGTTACTTAGAAATTTATCCTGACATCATTTAAAAGTAAAGTTCCTAAAAGAATATCTATATCTTTATTTTTTTTCAGTCTTTGACTCAACTTATAAGCAGCTAAGTCTAATAGAATGTTTTCTTACTTTGGAAGTGTTGGTACTTCTTTCAGAATGTTCTTCACTTTCTGTTTTTTCTTTATATTATCTTCTTGCAGACTCCATTTTGTTTCTTGGCTTCAACTAAGGGCAACTCTAATAACTCTATCTCAAGACCTCTCCCTGAGGTGTAGACCCAAATATCCAACTGCCTTCAGGATGTGCAGTCTGGATGTCTAACATTAGACACCTTAACTCCAGGTGGTCCAATGAGACCCCTTCTCCTCTTCCTCATCTTCTTCCTTCTCCTCCAGCGTCTCCTCTATTGGTGACAAATGCCACTCTTCACCCAGTCTCCCAAGACTAAATCGTCTAAGTCATCATTGACTCTTCACTCTTTCTTTACTCTGTTTTGTATGAAAGTTTACTTTTTGTCCACCTTTTCTACTTAATGAATTTCTTGAAGGTAATGCACATGCACTGAACCTCTTGTATCCCCAGCACCTAGCACAATGCAGAACACTTACCAAGTGCTTCATGAATATTTGCTGAGTGAATAAAGGAATAAACAATTTGACCAGCCGAGTCAATTGAAATATTTGCACATTTCTCACCCCAGGGCTGCTTGGCATGACACAATTATTTTTAGGAACAAACGGAGGCTTCTATCTGTTCCTTAAAAGTAATTAAACATCGCTATATTGGCCTCTAAACAGTGAATATCTTTATACCTCAGATAAACAGCCTGTGAATGAATATACTGCTGAACTGCCTAATATGGTAGCCATTCACCACATGTAGCTAAATTAAAAGCAGAATTAAAGAAAATTTAAAATTGATTTCTTTGGTGACAGCAGCCACATTTCAAGTGTGCAGTAGCTACATGTGGCCAGTGGCCATGGTATTAGAGAGCAGATTAAAGAGCATCTCTGTCATCACAAAAGGTTCTATTGGACAGTGCTGTATCAAAGGATGCAGTGAGTTTTACTGAACAAGACACCGAATTTGACAACAAAACACTGTGAGGTGATTACGATTTGCTTTAAATCCACTGCTCGGATATAAAGAATGTAATGGTTTTCCAAATTCTTCCATGAATTCATATTTCATGCTTCTCTGTCAATATAGATGGCAAGTTTCTGAGTTGTAATCAGAATGTAAAAGTAATAAAATAAGCACATACATTGCTTTAAAAAAAAGCATTAAAGAGTACTTCATACCTAACTAATCTATACATATAAATAATGAATTCAGACTCAGGACAGGAGGTGTAACAGAGAGTTTGCAACCATAAAACATTGCTGGCCTTTGGTCAGGAACAGATATAAACAGAACTTTCCTTTTCTAAATCACATCAGTTAATCTTCAAAAAGAAAGAAAATGATCAAAGAACACTTTGCTAGCTGTATTTACATGGGACGAACACTTTCTGATTTAATGAAGAAAAGTACCTCTCTCTCTCATTATGTAAAACCTCAAAATGTGACTCTTATATTGAGCCCTTAATGTTTCTTACTCTCTCTCTCTTTTAAATTTTTACCAAGGTTCGATATTCATTGGTAAAGCACTCAACACTGCTGAATTACTATGATGGAGGACGGTTCTTGGCTCAAATAAACTCATCTATTTCTACTTGCTATATAAATGAAATCGTAAATATGAAAAGATGTCCAATGAATACTGTCCTTTCATACATCAATGCAGAATAAACTAAAGTGTTCTGAACAGTTGTGGCAGAGTCAGGAAACTAGTGACAGTAAAATAGAATCTTAACTGTCGCTCCTTGTTTAACTTAACAGCTGAGATGATCTCATCTGAAGTGATGGCAAAAAGGAGAGTCAGGTTTCCCTTCTGAGTCGCAGGTTGTAAGCAAAGTGTAAGAAGCTACTTTTCAAGAGTACTCCAACCAGAGCTAGTCTGTAGGCTCATGGAAGCACCCCACGACCACTCCCTGTCAGAAATGGGACATCTCAGGTCAAGGTGCAAGCAGCCGCTTTTCCTCCAGGCCCAGCTGTATCTCAGCCATCCCTGACAACTGCATTGGTACTAGCATCTCCAGAGCCCACCTTCCCCCCAAGTCACTATTCTCTTCAGTGTCCCCTAAGGATGACGCCTGAAACAGCCTATTTCTCCCAATCCCCTATTCCCACCATTGTGTCCAGCATTCCAGAGCTGCCAAAGGAAGATGGACAGAATCTGAGGTTGCCCAGCCTAGGGCTCACACCTCAGCCCTGACACTTCCTAGCTGTGAACCTTAGAGCAAGTCTTTTAGCTTCCCTGAGCCCCAGCTTCTGAATGTTTAAAGTAAAACTCATAATATGTACCTTGCAGTGTTCTTGTAAAGATAAAATAATGCTGGGACAAAGTGCTTTGTAATCTGTACAGGCTAACGTGATCATCTCATCTCAAATGCCCTCATTAGTCATTCTCCCTTTGATTGCTCCATTCCTTTAAGTTCTTCTCCACTTAAATATATGATGTGGGATATATAAGGCTGTAATTTGCTCTAAAATGGTTCTTTTGTGATTTTAATTCTCTCTCCTAGAAAATGTGTTCCACAAAGATGAGTTCTGCATATGCTATCATTGTTCTATTCCTTCAGAGCCAACAAGCAGACTCTCCAGTGTTTTAAGATAAGCAGACTGGGGAGCAAAAGGTGCTATTGCTAAAGGTCACCCAGATGGTTACTCCTTTGGGCAAGGGTGGGGGGTGGGTGGAGACGGGTGTTGTATGGTGATGTGGATGTGCATATGATGCACACTTGTAAAGAGCTCCTGAATGAATGTACAAATTGATCCCTACTAATAGATAATAACTACACTGCCTTTTAAATATTTCTTCTCTTTCACTATAATACCTTTTAATAAATAAATTATTGGAGAATGTTACCTTAATAGACTTACATTATTTGAAGATGTAATTAGTTTATTTGGGGAAACTTACCTAAAGGCAGAAGGTGAAGGGGATGATTCTGATCAGTTCAGGAAATCAGTAATTTGAAGTGAGTGCCCCATCACCACTGTCAGTTCTTTTTTTTTATATAAATTAATTTTTATTGGTGTTCAATTTACCAACATACAGAATAACTGTCAGTCCTAAGGCAACTGCTCACTAACCTTTCTCCTTACCCACCACCAATCTCACCTCTGACTGACAGGGGAGACACTATTATTTACTGTGTTCCTACCACATAGTGGGTATCTTACACATATTATCTCTGTATCCTAAAATAACTCAATGGCATGTGTTCTATTATCATCCCACCTTTACAGATGGGGGAGATAAGGCTCCACAAGGTGAATAATATATAAGGTCATAATAAATGACAAAGTCTGAATATAAACCCAGTCTGACAACTCCTTGTACCAGTGAGAGCAATAGTTACGTCACCCCCACCAGGGTGAAAAGGAATAATTTGCAATCCCAAAATATGCCTTTTGTCACAACGATTTATCTTGAGCTGGTTATTCTTTTTTTTTTTTTTTAAAGAATGTGAACAGCACCAGCTGTATTGCAGCCTTGATTTATTTTTGAGTAGGGAAAAAAAGAGAAGGGGGATAAGCTGGTAAGAGGTGCATAAAGGAAATGAAAAAAACAAAATAAACACCCCATATATGGTGCCTGCACACAAGCACGCGCGCACGCACACACACACACACACACACACACACACACACACACAGCACACAGCTGTCCTAGCAGCTCTGAGCTCCATGATGCAAGGAATTCCAAGTTCTCAGGATCTTGAAAACTCTGGGGGCCAGCAATCCTCATTACACCATTTCTACAAGCTCAGAAAAGCCCTGCCTCATATCATGAAATAAACCCTGTGGCTGCCTCCAGATGGAACGGAGGCAAAGAAGACCTTGTCCTTGCATTCACATAAGAATTTTAGTCTTTGAGCCCTTTTGTGCATACACATACCATCCAAGTGACCAGTTTCCACAGAAAGGAGCTCTATGGCCTTTTCTCCCCAGCCTAATGTCTGACAGGATTGAATATACGCTACAGATGTTGGCATCTCTCCCCACTTCAGAACCACATCTTTGGGGATTTTTCCATAGGTATTCACATAAACCCTTTCATCTTATAGCATACCAGAAGCTCCATGCCATCTGTGTTGGGGAGTATGATGATTGCATAGGGTTTGAGGCTACACTGGATCAGAGTCCGGGTTCTTTCTTATGTGTGTTGGTTGATAAATATCATAGACCTCTCCTGAATCCACATCAGTGGCATGGAATCCAGCCCAGGATCCACAGATCACTTTCAACCTCTGGCCTTCCCCCAACAGCGAGATCCACCAGTAATGGCTTAGGTACCAATTCTCCAAATGACTCAAAGGCTATAAATCTGTGATATGGCTTGTGTGTCCATGCATAGACCTTCACAGAACTCTGCAAATTACCAGAAATTTGTTCTTTCATATTTTACAACTTCATAGTATACACATCCTTCCAAATCCCCCCCCCCAGTTGTCCATCCTTGCTTTTTCTCAATTTCTGGATCATTGTGAAGTAATTCACAGCATCAGGCCACTTTCTATGCCTACTAAAAAATTCACTCCCCATAAGACAGCACACAGAATCTCAGGATTAAAGCTCTTCTTATATTTTTGAATCTCTGGAGTGCCACTCTGTGGTCTAGTGTTCATGGCATTCACACTGACCACTGAGCCCTTCCAGGTAGGATCTTGCCTATGGTTTCTGGTCTTAGTCCATCACAGGAAAATCCCACCACAGAAGTCACTGCTGTCCCACCAGATGGAGAAATCTGTAGCAATCCGGTGTCTACAAAAAGTGTAAAGAAGGAAGAAGACTTGTGTTTCTGGAATGTGTTACTGGTGGACTGAGTCTAGTGGATGACAGGAGTGCCCTCCTTGGATAGGGCCATGACTCGTTCACTTTCTACAGCATCATATAGACAATCACAGTTTTCACGGATTCTGTTTCACCATTGCTCAAATTCAGAGATGCTGCTCTGGTGTCCTCAGTCCAGAGGTGGGTTCCTCAGCCCCTTCTTATTCTACATCATCGTCTTCCTCATCTATTGTCCCTGACCCCTCACTGGATGAGTAGTCATGTGTCACTTGGTGTCACTTGGAAGGTCACACATCTTCCACTGCTTGAAGTTCTTTGGCCAATGCAGTCTAATCAGCAGGCTTGAGAGGTCTAAAAACTTCTAATCTTCACATTTTTTTCACTGCATTTTCAAGGCACTGAGATGAAGAGCCTTCAGATTTGGGTGATGAACCCACTCTGAAGCGCTCCCCTGAGACACTCTGGAGACCCCGGATGGGACACAGGTTGGGATCCTGAGTTGCTGGACCCCAAGGAACTGCCACTACCAGACCTGGGCACCAGCTTCTCCACTCTCTCCCATAGCAGCCTGGGCTCAATACTGCTGGTGGAGTTTCTCTGACATGCTTGGATATTTTTCTATCCACTGCCTTGCAGTGAAGAATCTCAAAGGAACAGAAGAGGAGAATAAGACATTGTCCTCACAAGAACCTGTGGCTCAGCTGGGTCTCTAAGGAGCAGGATGCATAGACTCAGAGCTGCTACTGGAAAAAGATTGATCTGGAAGGCACTAGTACTCTGCCTGTCTGCTTAGACTAGGGTTCAGGGGAGCTGTGGTTAATTTTCCTAAATCTATCTTCCACCTCTCAAGCTCTATTAGTGGTGGACTGGTTGGTTATTCTTAAGAGACACAGGTCAAGCTCTGAAAACTGAGTAGAAGTTACCTTTTTGTTAGACACATTTACATTTATATGGGAAATCTCTATTTATAAGTGTTATCTCCCTCTCTAGAAACTCTTAACAACGGAGAAGGCAAGGACTTAAATCCACACAGCCACCATACTGTGCTTTTCCTGATAGCCTCCATAACTGTCCTCTTCGCACCCAACATCTTTTGTCTTTAGCTATGGATGACTTTTAAGGTAGTGGCTTGGGCTATTTCAGGGAGTTATTCAGTTTTCCTGGGTCTCTCCCATATGCATATACAGGAGCTATATATGCTATTAAATTTCTATTTCTCTCCTGTCAATCTGTCTTTTATAACAAGGCATCTCAGCCAAGAACCTGGAAAGAGAGGAAAGCTTACTTTTCCTCCTCTACAAGGAAGTAGTAGAAATTAGATAGTCTTTAGTTTTGCTCAACTCAAGCCGGAAATGTCTTGATTTTGCCATGCCACATGTACAATATGACTTTGTTTTTATTAATTATAACATGTTTGTCTCATAAATTAAGAGACCACATGTTAAAATCAGTTCCATTCCTTAATAAGTCACACCACAAACTAACCTATGAACATCCTCCACAGAATGAACCACAAATGAGTATGTGCTCTTACCAACTCTGCCAAATAGTCTGTACACGCTACTATGCTCTCCATTCCTTCCAGAAAGGATAGAAACTTGCCCCACTTCTGGCTTCACTTTCAGAAAGCCTCTGCTTTCTAGGATGGAAGCAGAGTGATTCACAAAGTCGATTTATTAACATCAAATTTGCCAAAAGCCAACTTGTCAATGGACCATTTGGCTAAATGGCCAAAGGATCTATTTGCCAAACTGGCTAAATATACTGATTTACCAAAAACACGTTTCTTCAAACTATTCATAATATTTATAGTGCAATGGATTGGCAGAGCTCAAGACTGTAGTAGTACGGATTTCAGAGTTCTGGGACCTTCAGGCACCAACTTGGCTCCTGATCTCCTTCTCTCATGGACACAACAAGTTCCCTCTCAACCCAACATAAGGCTGTGCTGGATTCTTGGCTCTTCTTCATTTCTTTTTCCCAATACAAATTTTCCTCTCTTGTTGCCTGCTCCAGCCGGTTGCAGTGGTAGGAAACGGGTACAGAAATATGGAACTGTCCTTAAAATGCTAATTTAAAAAACTGACCATGGAAAATATTCCAGGTATCTTCAAAAACTGTTGAAACCTTTCAATCTACTCTAAATCACTGAACTTTGACATTTAAAAGATAGACATTTTGGGAAAATTGGTAAACTTGGCAAATGAGTCAGTGGTGATAAAATCTGAAAACATGCTAGATCATTAAAAAAATAGAAAATGAATTTTTGACAGGATTAATACTACACTAAAATAACCTAAAATTTTTTTGTATGAAATCCTAGAATAATTACTGTTGCTTATTCATAAGAATGGTACTCTTTCTGTGATTTTTAACTTCTAACAAATGGAATACTCCTTAAAATGCTGATTACAAGAATATATCCATTGACTATATTTAAGAATGTAGCCACTGCATATACTCAAGAATAATATATTCATATGAAAAGATAATTAATTAAATATATAAGTGGTCCATGGGGCATTTGGCTGGCTCTGTTGGTAGAACTCACAACTCTTGATTTTGGGGGTTATGAGTTTGAGCCCCACAGTGAGTGTGGATATTACTTTAAAATATATATATATATATATATATATATATATATATATATATATATATATTTCAAACGACAGCCCATGAGGTAAAATTGGAAGCTGCCCATTTTTGTATGAGGTAGGGATGATTTTTGCTTTTTTGAAAAAGTTGTAAAACAAGCAAAGAATATTCTATAGAGACCTCATATAGCCTGTAAAGTTTAAAATATTTGCTATGTGGTCCTTTTCAGAAAACTGTTTATCAACCCTTAGAATATATTCAAAAAGCTTAAGCTTTTTGATGAATCAATACATTTGCATAAATTTTGTCAACTGGACATTTGATGGATTGGTTTTGAATAAATTGATTTTTGGCAATTTGGCCACTGGACAAATTGATCATTTGGCAGAAAGTTTTCCAAGAATTGTTTTTGGTGAATACACCTGGAGCTTCTCAGGAATTCTCTCAAATGAAACACTATGGAATTTTAATATATCAAACTTTTGAAAAAAATAAGTGAAGGATTTCTTTTCTCCCAATGACTATGGAAGCCAATGGAAAACCTGAGTCCCACCAGAGAAGCCCAATCTATTCTCACTTGGGAAGGACCTTGATGGACTCAACCCCCTTTTAAAAAATATTTTACCATTTGAGTATGAAACACTTTTTAGTAACTGCTTCCAAAATTGTTTTTTGGGTTAAATGATCATTTTTATTCTCAAAAGTTTTTACTTTTGGGGATCCCTGGGTGGCTCAGCGGTTTAGTACCTGCCTTTGGCCTAGGGTGTGATCCTGGAGTTCCGGGATCGAGTCCTGCATCGGGTTCCCTGCATGGAGCCTGCTTCTCCCTCTGCCTGTGTCTCTGCCTCTCTCTCTCTCTCTCTCTCTCTCTCTCTCTCTCTCTCTCCCCCTCCCTCTGCTTGTGTCTCTGCCCGCCCCCCCGCCGTGTCTCTCATGAATAAATAAATAAAATATTTTTTAAAGTTTTTACTTTCTTTTTTTATGGGAGGGGCAAAGTATAATATTACAGATACTCTGAATGAAGCAGTGTGCTATTTGAATATCCAGTCTTCTCCAGTAATTTATATTACTGACTATCCTATACTGAAGATCCTGGCAGTTTTTAAGTGCAAATTCTGGAAAAAAAAAAGAGTATATATTTCCTGGCCAAAAAGGATAGAGCAGGGAAATGTTTGTTTGTGTGTGTGTGTGTGTGTGTGTTTGTAGGTGAGTGTATGTGAAGGTTGGGAGATAGGCAGAAAGTGAACTAAGATGGCTTGGGAAATACTTGGTTCTTCTCCTCTCAGATTCCCTACTGCACTGCACCTGTCACTGCTCCTTGGCCAAAATGTCAAGAGAACTGGTACTCATGAGAAGGTAACTAAGCAAATGTACCAATGACATCTTCCTTTTTTCCTGCTGAAGCCGTGGACATAAAGTCTTGTGGCTTTTAAAATCATATTCTTTGTGCGGGCTGATATGTATTTGATGTGTAACTGATATATCTGAAGCTAACATAACTAAGATGCTATGTTACCAAACCTATATTATACAGGAAGTTCAGATGATTTTACACATTAGGATATGAAGACCTAAAAAACACTGTGGAGTTTCAAATGTTGAAAATATGGAGTCCCTTTTAAAATGATTTGGGAGGTTATTACTCTTATCACATAGCTAAGAAAACTCAATTCTTGTTTTAGTGATATGTTAACAGACTTGTTTCTTTTTTTAGATTTTATTTATTTATTTATTTTAGAGATTTTATTTATTTATTCATGAGAAACACAGAGAGAGAGGCAGAGACACCGACAGAGGGAGAAGCAGACTCCATGCAGGGAGCCCGACGTGGGACTCGATCCCAGGACCCCAGGATTGCGACCTGAGCCAAAGGCAGATGCTCAACCACTAAGCCACCCAGGTGCCCCAACAGACTTATTTCCAATCACTGCTGATACACAACTGAAAAGCAACAAAGTTCAAATGCTCTGACCCTCATATATTTCAGTGTTTTACAAAGGATGGCATCCAAGTGGGAAAATTTCCACCAAAGGCTTACTCCATCCATTTCATAGAAAACATCACTCTCTAAAGGGCCAGTGTGAACTTCTCTAATGTGCTTTCTTGGTTACACCAGCTTTCCACAAACATTTCCAAAGAGGAAAGACATCTAACAGCACTCAGTGGTATTTCCTCACCAGAAGAGAAAAACAAGAAATGCACACTTCAAAAGTACATACCATCAACATGGTAAAAGCCATAGCCTGATGTCCTCCATACCTCGAAGGGCAGGTAACTCATAATAAGCAATGCCCTGCTGTCAAAGAATGGAAAGCAAGCAAACACCAAGTCAACAAAGACTCTATGGCTATGAAAATATGGTCAGTCATCAATAATCAAAAGAAAAGTTTTCCAGTAGTGACAGAGATTATAAGAGAAAGGAGGGGAACTGAGTGGGAAAAATTAGAGAGAGAGACAAACCATGAGAGACTCCTTCCTAACTCTGGGAAACAAATAAAGGGTTGCAGAAAGGGAGGTGGGTGAGGGGCTGGGGTGACTGGGTGATGGGCACTGAGGAGGACACCTGATGGGACAAGCACTGGGTGTTATACTATATGTTGGCAAATTGAATTTAAATTTTTAAAATGTGAAAAAAAAATAAAGAAAAAAATTCCAAGGTTTTATCATCTTGAACAGAATATTGCTGTTATTGGCCTCTTCTGACCAGCAAGGAAATATTAAGTAAACAAGAAGGGACCTTTTAGCATCTGATTAGTGTTCCGCGGTCTGCCCCTTTTTCAAACAGAAAAGGCGACATATCGTGTTGGTTGGTGAGTCACTGGAACACGCCTGGGCCTTAGCCTCGGTGCCAGCGGCTAACACTGCTAACATTCACAGGCAGACTGAACGTCAAAGCTACACAGTTCTCCATCATATATTTGTGGAAAATTCATTCCAGGAGAAATTCATAAATCAGACAAGAGACCAGCACTGTGTGGGAAGACAGTTTGCTCTGTTCCCACTAACTAATAAGCCTTTTATACCAAGTCTTGAAGCACAGCACAGGGTTCTATAAGGACGTATCTCCTACTCCAAGAGAAGAGAGTCTTTGAAGGACTGGAACTGACAGCTGAGATCTGTGTTTATAATTTATCTGCTAGTGTATTTACTTGCAAACTTCACTATTTTTGTATTTAGATCTATTATCGAATATTTCTTCCAGTTTGCAATGGTTTGAAAACTGTTGTATGAGTTAAAGTTCAACATTGTTTAGTCAAAATCATTCCCCTGACACAGCACTTCAA